TACAAAACTAGGGAAGCAACTTACAATAAAGTTTATAATTAAATAGAAACAGACTATTTATTCACACAAATGATGAAAATCCATGAATGTGTTTATTACCTTAGATGGGGGCAGTATTTCTTCCTCTCCCTCACCGTCACTCGCCTCCATGTCTTCTCCACAGGAGCTGAAAAGGTCAGAGACAATAGATGTTTTGTTAGCATTCTGTACAGCAGGGGGCAGCACCAGGGGCTTCACAAGCACATGGCAGAGTTCACCAGTAACCATGAGGTCCTGGTTCCCAGCCAAACCTCCTGTTCCTAGTCAACGGCTTTAACGTATCAGGTTATAATAACAATGGGTTTGATCTGTGTTCAAGATGAGACAAAAGATTTTCATAACAGCTCTGCTACCCGTTATTAACACACTCTGTGGTCTTCAAGGGGGGACGTTAGAATAAACCAACAGAATAAGATAAGAAATGTGTAATCAAATATCAACTGACTGCAACTTCTTCACTCCAACAGCCACTTTAGAGAACTACTAGAATCTGTGAGTCTTTTAGGGACAACAATGTTTGAGATTGATCTGGAGATCATGAAGAAACATACTCATTCCAGTGCGCCCGTTTCCTGTTGTTTCTCTGCTGTGTGGCCGACTGTATGAGGAGGGAGTCCGGCGTGAAGGGGTTAAAGTTGACCAGCGGGGTCTGCTGTCTCCGGCTGTCTGTGATTGACTTTCCTGACGGCTCCACATTCTTGAACAGGGCGACTCTCCTGCTGGAGGATCCCGGGCCAGAGCCCCTCGCTCTGGACAACAGACTCTGAAAAAAAGACAGATTCGCAGATTCGTTAATATTTGAAAGAAGGAGCAGAAAGGGAAAACTGGGACTAAGTGACTTAAAGTGCCCTTCCCTTAAAAACCAGGTTACACTAAATAATATGTGGTTAGAAGCTCTCAAATAAAGTGTTATGGAATAAAATTGTCATTGAAAAATTAAAAGGCCAAGAAATTCAGTAATCTAAAAAAAAAAGAAAAGAAAAAAAAAAGACATGCCCAGACATACAACTCCCAGTCGCTGAGTCATCTGGCTGTCTGACTACTACAGTGAGAACATTATGTAAGCAACAGTACAGTTGTCTTTTAAATGGGTCACTGTGCTTAACTGACACAGCCCCACTTTCCATTTAAATTCAAAAATTTGACCTGGTATGTTGTTATGTAAGCTTGGTCCTGGTTTACTTTGGGTGATTTTTTTTCCAGTTGCACATCTGGCATTGGCTCCAGGAGCAGCCATGCCTTTATTTAAAGGGCGTAAACGGCTCAGAAGATTTAAAAGACTTTTGTGCACTTTAAAGTCTTGGGTGCGGGTGTGTTTGCAAGATCATATCAGTTTGAAACTAGTTGAATTCATGATCCTTCACTCTGCAAAAGAGCACACCTGCACAACATTTTAGATTTGACCTACTTTAGGACCTACTTTTCATATATAGGTGACCTACATTGCATTTGATATACACTAAAGACGCAGCCAAATCTGTGTCAGTAGAGCTTAAAATAGTTTGATGTTTTATTCAGAAACTGATCCCAATAAATGACACTTTTGGGTCAGCATCGAGCAATTACCTGGTTTTGGCATATTTGTCTTGTTTCACAACTAACACAAGGCTGTGAGTTTTTAAGAGTTCAAAAAATTGAATCAAGTTTAGAGATGTTTAAACTTATTTGATGGTGTTTCTGCAATATATTGGAATAAAAATAAAAACATTATTTCATAGCAAACTGACCTTTGGTGTGTGTGGTGTATCAAACAATCGGAGGTTTCTGAAGGTTTTATGTGGAGGTGTGTCGGGACAGTCCGGGATCGGGGAGCTGGACCCCTCTCCGTCGTCCTGCACATAAGACCGCTCCGGCGACGCTCCGTACAGCCGGGACATCTTCCTCGGCGACGGCGAACAATTGGCAAAGATAACACTGCTCGGTGACCGCAGGTGAGACGGGGACCCAAAGCTCTCCTCGTCCCAAAGCTCCACGTCGTCGTCCCCGCTGGCGGTCTGGTTCAGGGGGCTGCTGCCTCCCTCCAGCAGCTTGTCCACGGTGTCCCTCCGAGCTGGCATCGGGGAATCCAGCTCCGTGAATCCAGACTCTCCCCCTGTGCTGTTGTTAACGTCCTCAATGGGGTCGTCCTCCCCGTCGCTCGACGTGAACTGTAACTTCTGACGAATGGGTCGAGATTTCGGGGAAGGGGATCCGTGTCTGTGGCGACCGTAGCTCGACATTTTTCAGGATTTAAACCCCGGCTGCGTCGACGGGAAAACACGCGGTTGGACCCCCCCACTACTAATGTAGTGAAGTTTCTCGCCAAATACACCCAAGTTAGACAACTTGTAACTACCTTAAATAAAAGGTATCGCTTTAAAGATTGTCCAAAATACCTATAAAAGTGTTAAAAGCTATGTTAGCATCCGAGGGAAAGTTAGCTTGTTTGCTAGCTCCTACACGCCCATCCAGCGAACAGAAATGGCCCCGGAGTAGTTCGCGATTATTCAGTCACACATTAAAAACAAATACAGAACCACCGGGTCCGTCGAGTTTCGGTATCCGTCACAGCGGTTCTTGATGTCTCTCCGACGCAACAAAAAACCACGTCTTTCCACCCTAAAAGCAAAACAATGTTTACAAAAAAAAGTTTGAATGAGTCAACACTCAACCCCTCTTCTTATCACGCGCGTGGCAAAAGACTTCCCGCGACCGTTGGTCACATGTCGCGGAGCAGCCAATCAGAGCGCGTCTTCAAATTTTGAAAGATGGGCGTTACAGAGAAGGGGGGGGAGGGTTCGAGGCGGCGTTACGTCATCTGTGGCCGAGCAACAAACTGGCGCGAACGCGTGCCTTTCATGTGACCGCAGTCAAACAATTACATTAACCTCGAGACAATGCGCCCATTATTTAGACAACACGATCACAAGAGCCGCCAAACATAAAAAAAAAAAAAAAAAAAAGATCACAGTCACAACTCACCACAACCCCCTTCTGTTGGCTTTAATTAAGATAAATCATATCTAAGCCAATAATGTTATGCCAATAAAGCCTGATTTTTTTGTAGTAAAATATCCCAACCACCCACATGAAATCATAATTTAACTCCACTTTCCTATTTGTCCATAGAAAGACGGAATTTATTTACTAGACCTTACAATATATTTGGTTTAAACAAAATGAAACTACAGTATTTGCACTTTAATCAAATTTAGGTTGATGAAGTAATCATATGTTTGACATAGGTGAAAATAGTGATGCCACCATGATGTGAATATAGCCCACTGAACAAGTCTAAATATGCATCCAGCTAAATAAATTATTAAAACAAACAACATTTTACACAAAAAAAGTAGTCAAGGTCTTCATGAACTTTTATCGGATGCATGAAGGCGGCTGGAAAAGTTTTGATTTTGCAAATCAAAGCCACTTAGCTAATAACTGGTTACTGCAGGTTACCAGCAAGATTCTCATAAATTAAATTCAAGACTTTTTAAGGTCTCTTGATATAAAATTTAAGGCTAACATCACAGCAATAGAGGCAACAGTAAGACAATTACAACAACGGTGTATTGGATTAAAACCGTTATTATTTTTCTGGTCTTCTGTAGGATTAAAATAATTAATTTGACAACGAAAGGTCATGTAAGACTTTTGAGGCATAGTTTGGGTAGATGGCTGTTCATCATGAGCCTGGATTTGCCCAAGGTTTCTGCCTCTTAACAGGAAGTTTTGTCTTGCCATTGTAACTTTGCTAAAGTGTTAAGTGTTAAGATCATGATGGATTAATATTGGGTCTTTATAATATAACAATGAGTAAGGACTTTTTACCTGTTCTTTTGTAATATTGGATAACAAAGAGTAAAGTCTGATACCTACTTTTTGTTAAGTGTCTTGAGATAACATTTGTTATGAATTGGTGCTATACAAATAAAGATTGATTGGTTGACTGAATTTGAAAATCTCAAAATTTGAGAGTTTTGGATACCCTGTCCACCACTATTATTTAGTCTCAGTCTAACACAGGAGCACATTGAGTGAAAGACCAATTCCACCATGATGCACCACAGGAAGTCATCCCTGCCTGTGTGTGTGTGTGTGTGTGTGCAATACTCTTTACATCATCTCTACTGTGCAATATTGAGATTTTGTATAAATTGCAGGATGACCCTCATGAAGGCCAAAAGCTGAAACGCATTGGTCTAATTAGTTAATAAAGTTAGTACTACAAGTGTTGCTTCGACCTCTTCAAGCCCTTCACTCTTCATGCACCTGTTGGTGAAGTTGTGCCACAAAATCCCGCTCTGCTTCTTCAGTATATAAATTCCATCTATGTATCGCACTTATTGCTTTATATTTCTGTTTATAATCCTTTATTTTCTTCTTCTATATTGTGTACAAGAGTGATTGTACTGCCCCCTGGGATTAGTTTAGTATATCTGATTTGGATTACGTGAACAATGGATCATATTCAGTAAGATCTTTTTGTTTGAATGTAAAACAAACAGATAATTATAGCTCTAACTTAAGTGCAGAAGTTTATTTAAACGTATATCTTGTGTCTCAGTGAAGTGGGATCTTTGAAGAATATTTAAAAAAAACACTTGAGTTAACGTGCAGAGTTCCTTAAAATGTGAAGAATACTTAATCAGCTTCAATATCTTCTTTTCATACGAGTTGCTTTAGGCTAAAAAAAGTTAGTTTTTTCACTAATGGTGGAAACATTGATTAACTGAACCCAAACTCCCCAGTGTGCTTTTAAATGTTCACTTATCAGTTTGAGCTGTTAACACCGACTGATGATAGCACAGATCCAAATCTGCACATCTACTCTCACCTCCACGCAATAAATCAATATGAACTTATAGCATAATTAACCCTTCACTGAATATCTCTTCTCAGTCTTCGTGCTTAAGGTGTATTTAAAGTTTACATCTGTGCAGAGGGGACTTGAGCAGTATATAACAGGGACTCAAAATCAATAAAAATCAAAATGTCACACTTTTCTTTTAATTAGAAATAGCATTAGCTGTACACTGCACTGTGCACCATAAACATTAGAAAGCATTTCACTCCCTCTTCTTTTTGGTTGAGGGATAAAATAGCATAGCAGAACTCCAGTTATCAAATTTCTATGTACACATAAAAGCTAAGTTCTTTTGTGGAAAAAAAAAACAAAACGAAAAACAAATCATGGAGGAAGACTCGTGATTTCTCTGGTCAATAAAAGTCCACTTGAGAAGGATTTGATCCTTAATCATAGTCCATAATGAGTCCGTCAATCATCGAGGCCCGGCGACTCTCCTTGTTGTATCCTTGATGCTATTCTGATGGCTTCCTCCAGCGACGGCTGATCACTGAGCTGCAGATGAAAAGAAAACAATGCAGGTAATATAAACATTGATTGACACACTGATTACCTCTGTTAATCGGCCACTACTGCTGGTGTATTCTATTTACACTTCCACCTCTTTAAAAAGACAATACGGCCTCTGACCGTGACTGACTACTTTACAGGCTGCTGAATTATTGATGACTGTCACAAGGGGGTAAGAGGAGGAGAGACAGTGTTAGCTTTGTAATTTACATGACAGAAAAAGCAGAAAAGGTGTTGATGGAAACACTGATCTTTAGGATAAATTAAGGGATAAGAGATCTGCATCCAGGTAGCAGTTCAGCACTGGCGTGCACCATCTAAGCATTAACTCAAACATGACCTAGTTTGAATTTAATGTCTTTTTCAGGACTAGGGCATTTAAGGTGACACACCAGCTGAGATATCTCCAACATATACAGAAGTTATAACTTAAATCTTACACCTAGCTCCTAGTAGGTGGAAAGCCCTCTGTAAAATACAGTTGTTATGATGTGTCATTTTGAAAGGTGAGATAACTTAGATGAGGAGGGGCAGAGAGTTTTACCAGCTGTTTGGTGTCAGCAGGGATAGATTAGATACCTCAGAAATATGATCATGACTTTAATTTCTAATCAAAGACATTTTCCAACGATTGAGTTTTGTTTAATTACCTAATGTTACCGTAACCTTTTAAACTAGCTCTGCTGTAGATTAAAAGGTGTAGGCTCAATCATAATCCTTTGTCATATTTACAAAGGGTGCCTGTGTTGTCGTCGCTGTTTGTGGATTGACATCAGTTCAGGGAAATTAAGTCTGTTCAGAGATGACTCAGTATGAGAGGTTACACCATAACAAACAGCATTAGGAAAAATGCTTTTCACTGATTGGTCACACAAAGTCTAAACATCCTTTCTGCGAGAATGTTTATGCTAGTTTGGACGTTATGCCTTACTAGCTAACAGGAACCTTACTTCTGAGGCGTTATTGTTTTTAAAAATGGTCCATTTGAGCCCAACTAAAGTTGTCAAACTTTTAGATAACTTGATACTTTTCAAAAATGAGATTTAAAATAATACAATCTCCGTTAATCTAGTGACCGACTGTCAAAAAGTACCAAAGCTTTCTAAAAAAAATACAGATTTCTAGCCAGATTTTTTTATCAAAAGGTTCCTGTTAGCAAAAAAGAAAGCACTGTCTTAATTTCTCAAAATGTTGCAAATGTAGCTGTACAGGAGTTGGCTATTAAAAACAAGAAATTACCAAATATGGGTTTCCTCTGACTTTTCTTTCTGTTGCCATGGTTTTGAAACGGGTATCAACATGGTTTAAACCAGGTAAGTACCCTCTTCTTTAGTGATACACTTTGCACTGGTATCAAAGTAAAACAATTAAAACGACTATCTAAAAGTACTTTCATGTAAAACGTGCTTCCCTGTTCTGCAGAGTGAGCGCTGGTGGTCATCAAGAATCAGGATTACATGCAAACTCACACATCGTATAGTTGTTACCTTTTTGTTGAGTTTGATTGATCCCTAATCGAATGCACCAGCAGGGGAGCAGAAACACACCTACACCCCCTGAGCTCAACCCCACCTACCCACGATCTCCAGTTAGGCCTTTAAGCTAACAGCTCAACAGGGTGGGATCTGGGGACGGATTATCTGGCTAACATAAATGCCCACCCCCACCCCCCACCCCACCAGACTGAAACTTCTGTCAGTATCATATAAACAACAGGGCACTGAGAAGTATCACTGAAGTCTGCAGGATGAACCCCTAACTGATCCATCTCATGTAATGTCTGCGTTTGAACACCATGTAGGAGCGGATGTATTCACACGTTTAAACTAAGTCTCCGTCTGGATACCAACCTGCACAGCGATGTGAGTGCCATTGGAGGTGGCCAGTAACGTGACAGGATGTAGGTCGTCCTGTTCTTGGCCGTAACTCGCCTCCTCCACCGTTTGAAAGGCGGCCATGTCGGGCGTCATGATGGCCACCTGAGGGAGACAAAAAAAATAAAATAATAAAGCTCATAAATAAATAAAGACTTAAACATCTGCTTTGGTGTTGGGACACAGGTCAGTTTGTGAGCACATCTGTTGACACCAGAGAAGTGTGCTGTAGGTCTGAAGAACACGCTACAAATGGACAGAAACTAGAGTATCAGGAGTTCTAAAGCCAGCTGCTGTATCTAAAGCCTACATCTACATAAACAGTGCTTTAAAAGATTTATTTTTGGGCTTTTTACGCTTTTATTTTAGCGATAGGACCGTGGATAGAGTCAGAAACTGGGGAGAGAGAGAATGGGGAATGACATGCGGAAAAGGAGCCACAGTTCAGATTCTAACCCGAGTGCCAGATCTCAAGGACTTGTGGTCCATTTGATCAATGAAGTCGGAAATTGCGAGTTACCGGTCTGATAGGTCATCAGGAGCATCACCCTGAAGTCAAAACTTTGGAGCAATTTTATCAGTCTGAGTTCAAATCCAACATGGCTGCTACGTGCATCAACAGTATACACTAAAGTGTTTATCAGCAGCTTATTCTTCTTTTTGTGTAATTAAATCAATCACACTGATAGTATCGTGTTATTTTCACACTCAAACCATTACGTAGTGTGTTGTTAAATGTGACGCTCCATTAGGCCTCTGTAAATCGGGCGACCATACTAACGGCTAGGCTAACGGCGCCCCTGTCTTATATTATGATATAGGATTATGAAGATCACTTTTTTGAAAACTGAAAAGTCTGTGTCACCTTAAACTCTATAGTCCTGAGTTTAAGTTCCATAGATAGATAGATAGATAGATATACTTTATTGTCTGTGCCAACAGAGACAGAAATTCTCCTTTGACAAGGCTCGAACAATAAACACAACTTGCATAAAAAACAGAAAGTGCAGTACATTAAAAGAGGACTTAAAAACAACAGTTTCTAAAAAGGGGGGTCTATTTGATTTTGTTCAGAATGGTTATTGCAGAGGGAATGAAGGATTTTTTGTAGATGTTTTTCCGGGCCAGAGGGACTTTGTAGCATCTGCCTGACTGGAAGGATTTTCCACCAGAGAATTTAAGCTAAAGAATAAAAAAAACTCTAGACAGAAGAACAAACATGAGTGACACAAAAGTTATTGCAAATATTTACCTGTTCATCTGAGCCATCTGTCGTTACCATCGTGACAGAGTGAGTACCTTGCGTGGTGAGTTCGTGGGCCGGGATGGTTATGGTAGTGCCTTCGTGGGTTACCATGGTGATTGTGCCACCCATGGCTTGTAGGTCCGCATCTGAGATGCTGACCTGATGTGAGACACCGAACAGAGCGCAGAACTGTGAGTGTCACTTCATTTTGGTACTTTTAAATTTCACATAATTTCTGGTAGTGATTCGCTGCATTCCATTACCTGCTGCTGCGTTCCGTCCTCTTGCGTTACCAAGGCAACGTGCTGATGACAAGCCATCTCCGAGCTCTCGACAGGAACCTGCTCCGAGCCGGAGTCTTCAGCATCAACCACCGCTGCTGTGTAGCTGACGTTTGGGTCATCAATGGCATCTGAAGATCGAAAGATTTGAGATTCTCAGTTTTATTTGATAATTTTCTTTTCAATAAATTTACTAGCGCTGTTAAACGAATACATTCAGTTGTCCAATAGTTAATCCCCTTTTTAAATTAATTTTTTTCCTTTTTTTATTTTTTATTGTTGGGCTTTTATTTTGAAATGTTGTACTTTTTTTAAGCTGAGAGAACATGACTTGCAGTTTGAATTCAACCCTGCTTTTATTTTGAAATTAAGTAAGTACTTCTCTTGTAGATCAATGGTTACAACATTAACTTGACCACAGAAGAAGGAACTCATTAAAAACAGCTAAAAGAAAACGATAACAAAAGGTCAACGTGTGATGTCATGAGGTGGATATGACTTTGGACTCGTCAGCTGAGCTGTTGGAGAGTTTTTTAAAGTGAAATGAGACATTCAAAGATGCAGCAGTGTCACCATGGGGCTCTCAATCAATATAACAATAACAAAAGATGATGTTGAGGCTAGCAGGGAATCATGGGAGTTCTCTCTGCGGTTGTACATTTATTTTCCCGTCTATTGCCGAATTGTTGCAGCTTGATATTCAGGCTTCTTCGCACACACTTTCTGAACATGATTCTATTACACGGACCTGTTGGGGGTTCAAAGTAGGCCTCCTGCTCCTCCTCGATGGGCTCTGTGTCGTTGTGGGCGGTGCGTTTGTGCATGGCGAGCGTTGAGATCTGCTTGTAGGTTTTCCCACAATGGTTGCAGTTGTAAGGTTTGCAGGGCGTGTGAACCACGTGGTGTTTATAAAGGCTGGAGTATTCTGTGAAGCGCTTTTCACAGCCAGGCACTGTACACACGTACGGCTTCTCTCCTGCAGACCGACAACGGGAGGACACATTTTAACTTCATGTCAGTTCTCACCACAGTGCTTAATTACTTTAGATACATTTATTTCTAGCAAACAGATAAATAAGAAGCTAAATACTCGACTCACCCGTGTGTATCCTCATATGGTTCTTGTAGTTGGTTGCACTGGCGAACGAGCGCCCACAGCTCGGCTCGGAGCAGTAGTACGGCCGTTCCCCTGTGTGTGTTCGGATGTGAACTTTGCGGATGTTTGAGGTTGTAAACGACCTGCCGCAGCCTTCGACCGGGCATTTGAAAGGCTTTTCTCCTGCAGATAGGGAATGATATCGTCACAAGGGCTGCATAAAAAAACAAAACTGAAATTGTTCCTTTATTTTTCTGATCATATGAACCAGACTTTAGGGGCGCTGGTGGCGCAGTGGTTAGTGCGCAAGGCCCCCATGTATGGAGGCTGTAGTCCTCCAAGCGGGCAGCCCAGGTTCGAATACCACCTGTGGCTCCTTTCCCACGTCATACCCCACTCTCTCTCCCTTATTTCCAGCTCTATCCTCTGTCCATTCTCTCCATTAAAAAGCCCAAAAATAAATATTTTAAAAAAATGAACCAGACAAGTGTACAAGTGTTTGGTCAAGTGTACTCGGAACCAGGCCTGGGTCCCTAGTGTGAAACCACCTGAAGAACAACCAGGCACAAATATCCAGCTCATGAAACCTCTAGTTAGCTTTTCACGGCTCATACTATGTTCTTCCTGAAACCACTGGTGCATGACTCCTGCCTGGTGCGCGCGCGCGCGCACGCACGCACGCACGCACGCACGCACGCACACACACACACACAGGTTTTGTACCTGTATGGGTTCTCGTGTGCTTTTGAAGGTCTCCAGAGGTTTTGAAGGACTTGCAGCAGTTCAGCTCTTGACATCTATATGGCTTCTCCCCCGTGTGTGTGCGTGAGTGACTCTTCAGTCCATACCCTGAAAAAGAGACGGTCGTTAAACATCTCATCAAGCATTGATTCTGGTTCAGCTTTCCTTTTTATCATGAATTACTCGGGAAATCTAAAGAAACCTGACAACATGTTTGCTTGATCTCTTTGTACTTTCAATTATGTATTGTGACTAATTAATAAGACACTATACTTAATACAACAGAAATATGAAACGTTCTCCGCAGTTACCTGTTGCAAACTTCCTCCCACAGCCGGGATAATCGCAGACGTACGGTTTGTCTCCTGTGTGGGAGCGTTCATGTACCTGCAGGAGAAACAAACAAACATGTAGCTGGTATCAAAGGAAAAGGCTGCAGGGGAACAAAAACAATCCCACATTTGGAGTAGGCAAAAGCAAAGCAGCACATCATTTCTGTGCACACAGAACACCCACGCTGTTACCTTGAGATGGTGTGCAGTTGTGTAGAGTTTTCCACAGCCCTCGTAATCACAGCGGAAAGATTTCTCGCCTACATTTGAGGCCCGACTTTGCCTGTTGTCTTGACCCTGTAAGACAATCTAAAACAAACAGAGAAACAAACAATATTTAAATCGGACACCGATTAAAAAATATCAACAAAATCTACTCTTGAAGAGATACTCTACCCGCATGTGGACGCCGTTGTCTGCTTCCACTCTGCCGTACGACCCCAAGGGATTTTCAATGTTCTCCACCTGACAGAGACGAGAAAGGACGCTTCATATCACAGTGTCCTTTGTCTGAGTAATTAACATTCAGAACTTGAGGAATAACACTTAAATGCCAGGTTGCTGTTTTTAATAATCATGACGTTTTTTAGTCTTTTTTTCCCCAAACAAATTTGTCAAATATTCACTGGTTCCAACTTTTTAAACAGGCAGTACATAAACTCCACCACCAGGGGGCTCTCAATCAAAACATTAACAAGAGATGTAGTTGAGGCTGGAAGTGAATCATGGGAGTGATTCTCTCTGCTATATAGATAAAATCTGAATAATTAAAATCGATTTGACTTGTTGCAATACTCTTTTCCAGCAGAGGGCACTATCTAATTTTTTACTTCTATTGTTTGACATCAGTAGCAAAAGGAGCACTTATCAGAGTTTTTATTAAGAAAAAAATACACACACACAATTACTTCATAAAGAATAATAAGGGAAATGGATTGTCAAGAGAATTTAAATAAAAAATCATATTTATAAATAAATTGACTTCAATCTCATGTCTTTGTAAAAATGGCAAAACCTCAATAAATCGTGATAAAAAAAATATTGTCCCACAGTCTGATGATACTAATCGTGATTTGAGTTTATTGTTGTATTAATATTCTGAACACATGAAAACTTTATTAAGACCGATGCCGACCCACTACAGTACAGCAGTATATTTACCTTTGTGGTGTACTGCTCAAGCACGCTGATGGTCTCGGGGTCGATGGCTGTGGCCTCGGCCTGCAGGTCTGCGATGGTGCCGTCAGCCTGAATGGCCAGGATGGTGTTGGACTGGGGCATGTGCACGGTGTGCTGGATGTAGGCGGTGCTGCCGTCCTCCAGCTGCACCTCCTGCAGGCCGCTATGGTCATAAGTATCTGCACAGAAAAGAGGAGGAGGTTAACATGGAGGCACTGAATGAGGAAACAGGGCTTAGGGTCCAGGATGAAAACTGTTGAGAGAATTGTTTATATAGGCAGTGATGCTCCCTAAACTACTGTTTGACGAACTCATTGTTTCACTTATCTTTAAGAGAAAAGTTTTTCTAAATCGGTTTTCTTTGAGCAAGAAATACAAACAGGGTACCGAGTAAAATCCCTGATTTTCATGCACATGTAAAATACCGTACTTTATCCAGTCATTTCCAGACTCTTTAAGTATTATCTGTGCATTAAGACCATTTCTATAAATGCAAAAAAGAATGAATATAAAATTTAGACTAGTGACTCCCAAAGAAAGTGCAAAAGATCATTTAGGATAAACTAATTGTTTTGTTAATGGCGTTTTGTCACATTGGGAAATTCAATTATTTTGCATTTAAAAATTAAAACAGTTAGGCTTTTATTTTAAATTGTTGTAGTGTCTTAAACTGAGAGTTATCAACTTGCTGTTTGATTTTAACCCTGCTTTTACTTTGAAAAAAGTATAGTTCTTCTGGTAGATCAAAGGAGCTTTATTATTTGCCATGAACTAGTTAATGCTGACAGCGTTAACAAATTGTATTCTGTATTTGGTTGAATTTAGTTTTGCTTTCATAGATCATGAAGACGTATCAGTCTTTATTTCAGTTCATGTTATAACCAGTTAAAAACTCCTCACAGCTTATATACGATTTCTCATGTGAGTAAAGAAACGTGCAGAAAGAGGAATAAACTCAAAATGCTTCTCGTGGACACGATGCTGTTGGTGTGTTTACCTTTGGGTGTGTGAATGTACGCTGTTGTTCCATCTTCCAGCTGCACTGCTTGTCCGTCTTCGAGCTGTAAACTATCTCCTCCTAAAAACAGAAAAAAAGGAACATGCATATATAAACTGCACACAACAAAACAGTAACAATAACAAAGTCTAATTATATCCAGTTGAAATAAATGAACGCTTGTCAGTATCCAAAATACAACAAAGAACATGTTCTGTGTGTCCTAAGAAGGAGCAGGGATTTGTGTCTTACCTGCTTTAGGCATGGACACATGCTGAACGTAGGCAGCAGAGCCGTCCTCCAGCTGGATCACCTGACCGTCCATGATCTGTCCGTCTGAAAAGGCGGCTTTGGTGTCATGTTGGATGTACGCTGTGGATCCATCTGCAAGAGTGACAGCCTGCAGGCTCACCGTGTCCATGGTGTCCATCTGATCTCCGTCTGGGAATCGATTTGAGAATGAAATATATTTACTGACGGCTTAAAGAAACAAGAAAAATCATGTTGTGGTTATTATAAGATCATGCGACAAACGTAAATCAATGCTAATGACATTGAGGTGTTTTATTCCTGACATCTAAAATGTGTGTTTAAAATAAACTGTTTATGTCCTTTTGATTCCCAGGTTACGGGGCATATTACATCTTTAAGAGCTCACCTGCCACAGTCACGGCCTCTGTCAGACAGAGAGTAACCGGCTGCCCGTCCGCATCATGAAACTCAGCCATTCCCTGCGAGTCCCGGTTTATCTGGGCTAAGAGCATGCTTCAGCTGCTGGAGGGACACAAGCAGGAGACAAATTTCAAAATGTCAGAAAACACAGACACACACTGAAGATGAAGATGCTCTGCAAGATGGTACAGCTAGTGATGCACTGAGGGAATAAGACACGCGCCAGACGACGCTCTGTCGACCAACAGTGATGGTAAGAAACCCACAGGGGGGCGGACAGGGAAGGAATAAGCTCCTGAAAGTCCCTTTCATTTTATTTTATTGATCTCACATTTCTGCAAACATACACAGGCATGGGAATTATTTAAAGTCATTTGATTAAACATGTGAATTTAGGAATTTGCAACCTATTAGCACAAACAGAATGCAATAATTCAAGGCTTAAAGCTTTTTATGTTCAGTGTAAATGCAGTTACTGGTCGTTTTGGCTCTGTAGGAAGTTGCCAAGTCCTGCTGGGAAAGGAAATCAGCCTCTTCATAAAGCTTGTCAGCAGACGGATGACATGAGGTGCTCTAAAATCTCCTGGAGGAGGGCTGACACACCGATCCATGTCACTGATCAAGAAAGATCGTTTGGTGTTTTAAATACTCTCAACTCGCACAGTCACGCTTTGAAGACAGACTGAACAGCAAGTGTCCACAAATCGTCTCCATCAAGACGCTCAGACGGGATGGAACAGCTCCTTCTATATGATCAAAAGTACAACTCTTACACTTCAGTTGTTGCTGCTTCCTGTTTGTATGAGAAGCCAGCACACAGTTCAAATAAATGCATTTGGCATAACTTGTATGCTTTTTTTTTTGCTCTTTGAATAAGAAATGTTTCCTGCAGCTTTGTGTAACCTTACACTTAATACCTACAACAATAACACTAATAATCATGATTTAAAAACATATCTGTGCATATGTATCAGAAACTGAAAAAAGTGAATCGGTGCATCTCTAATGCAAAGCTGCATTGATGCAGTAATTTGTGCAAAAAGGGCGTAAACCAAGTATTGAGTGCATTAGAGAAAATACTAATCAAAAAAGGTCCAAATTCTGTATTATAAATTGTTGTGATGAGTCCAAATCATCTAGATTAAAACAAAAAAGGGCTAGAAAACATTTCACTTTATGTGTAATGAATCTAGAATATATTAAAGTTTCACTTTTTGTATTAAATTACTAATAATACATGAATGATTTCTTCACACGACACGTAGATGTGGTCATCACTGACTTTAACGCTACTTACTAAAAAAAAACACATTAAGAGCCCTGACATGTGTTGACTAATTCATTAAAGGGTTAAGTTAAGCTGACTATAACTTTGAAGATATTTATTGCACGATGCCTTTAATGGTTTTATTTGATCATTACTCTTATTGTTTACAGTCTTATTCAGTGTTTTTTGGCGGCTTGGTGTTTTCAATGTGGGGCTAGCTGAGTGTCCGTGTAGCCTTTAAGTCCAAACATTGTGACTTTATAATGACATGATCTCACAAACACTGGCTGTGTGGTCAGATAGCACAAACACACACACAGAGACACACACACTGACTGACTGACACCTCTCACGGAGCTAAAGCCGCCGAAACGAGATGTGACAGGGAGGCTAGCTGCGATGCTAACAGCGGTGCTATCAACCTCAAAAAAAAAAAAAAAAAAGCGTTGTCACGACTTTTCAGCGATCATCAGCGAAATGTTTTAGTCATAATGTACATAATCGAGAGAGCACGGGTATCTAAAGCGCATGTTTTAAATGTTAGGATGAGTCTGCAACAGCTGGAGAAGCTAAGGCAGCTACATGATGAAAAGCTATGAGCCTCTTTTGTCGACGCAGTTATGAAACAAGAAGCTCATTAATGTTAACTTCAGCGTTTCCACTTCGCTTTACACGTTTTAATGTCAACTTAAACAGCTTTTCCCCATTCTTCTTCTCTATTCCTGCCGCGGCCTGTCACTCCCACTCGCAGAGATGGCTCTGGGAATAATGCATACTGGGTAAAAACCAATTTATATACGAACCTCCGACAAAATTTCCAACAATTCCTCCTGTTCGACCACCATGCACCAGTGCAGGAAACGCTCGGCGATGTCCACACACCGGGAACATGTATGACAGCACAACCCACTTCCACATGAGGCCCCCCGCCCATGCGCGATTTCCCACACGCTGAATGGTCAGAGAAATCACAGCTCGCGTTCCTATTGGTCAGCCGAGCTCGCATTCGAGTGTGCGCTGCTGTTATTCAGATTCCAGGGCCCCTGGCAGACGCCATTCCGCGTCAGTTTTCGTATTGTCTCCGGCTTTTCGCTGAAAATGCTCGACGTAGTCTTGGAAAATAAATGTTTAAGCTTCAACACAAGACGACGGTCAATCCGGACTTTGGATAGCAAACCTCGCTATGCCGCTGGATACAGCTGAATTTGTTTTTTCAGCAACATAAACAGTGATGTGTGGGTCGATTTTTCGGCATCCATGTTGAAAACAAGGTCGTGTGGGAAAAAAGGGGGAATATGGGCAATGCAGTGAAGAGAGGCTGGAAGGATGAAATGTCCAGTGGACACATGACAGAACAGACTACAAAGAGCATCAGCTCTAAAAGAAGACAATAACACCATCTTCACATAAGACAGGATTTGTTTTACATTAGATAGATAGATGCAGGGCCATATAATATAGATATATATGATATAGATATATATATGATACAGAGATATATAATATAGATATATACAATATAGATATATATGATATAGATATATACAATATAGATATATATGATACAGAGATATATAATATAGATATATACAATATAGATATATATGATATAGAGATATATAATATAGAGATATATAATATAGATATATATGATACAGATATATAATATAGATATATACAATATAGATATATATGATATAGATATATGATATAGATATATATGATATAGATATATATGATATAGAGATGTATGATATAGATATATAATACAGATATATACGATATAGATATATATAATATAGAGATATATGATATAGATATATACAATATAGATATATACGATATATGATATAGAGATATATCATATATATCTATCTATATCATATAGATAGATTTATATAGATTTTTTCCCATTTTCAACAGCAAAAATTATCACAGTAATCCTCTTCTGAAGGAAAGATGAGATTTTTGTAAAAAAAAAAATATAATATTATCATATATGTAGTCTAAAAAAAATCAGCAAAGACTGTTGTCTACAAGGGTTACCAAAATGGACACAAAGTGAAAGTTCTTCACAGGAGCTTTCATAAGAAATATGACAAAAACATAAAAATAGCCTATTATTTTGAAAAATAAACGAAAAGTGACATGAACGAGATAAATCAAGATGAGTAATCAAACAAGAGACAAAAATATAACTTCATTAAAGATTACAGGTTTTTTTTTACCTTAAATGTTATATCTACATTTTTATATATAATGTTATATATACATATATTGTTACCCTTTTAACTTAGGCATATATTGGCAACATTTAAATCTTCTCAGTTTATTATTTAGGACTAAAATAAAGAAGTGTGACATTAGGATAGTATAGTACTTTATTCCCCAGAGTGGAAATTTGGGCGTTGCAGCAGCACAGACAAGAGGGTCATATACAAAATACAAATTTAAACAGAATAGATTAGATAAGATAAATAAAAATAGGGAGTATATACAAGTGCAAAATGAATGGCGAAGTTAATTATGCATTAAGGTAAACATTAAGGTTCATCATCAAATCTTAAAGTTCTGACTAGACGGGCCACACTGAGATGAGTAAGCGAATGCCAATCGGCCTTCCTGGATGTCGTGCCCCACAGTTTGAGAACCAATGCCCTAAAATCATTCAAACTAAATCTTGAAATTACAAAATGACGTTTTGTCAATGAAACACAAAAACTGTTTATCAGTATTAGGCTTATTTCTTCACATCACAAGGCTGAAAATTCAGCTGACCAACTAAAATTGGTATTTCAAGGAATAATTGTTTCTGTTGAATGTTTATATAGCTGAGTTTATAGAAACATCATATCTTAATAGGCCTCTGCCCAGGGAAAGGCCTATAACATCTAGTCTTATATTATTTTGTGTACCATGATCTGTTTTTGATTCGGTGTGAAACATCAGTAAACAATCATCCAAAAACAAATAAAGATCTCAGTGCCTCACTTTCAAAACATTACTTCTAATTGTTTCAAAAGTAGTCACGATTCAATAAAGTGACGTTTTTATTCCGGAGTTTTCAGGCAGGTTGGAGCAGCCAGGAGACGCAGGTACAGGAAAACACTTTCAAAATAAAAGCTCGAATTCGTTTGTAAAGAATTGTATAAGGAGGCTTAATCATAAAGCTTCAGATTGGAATCGGTTTTTGTTGTCTTTAAAAACATTTTCTTGGGATCAAATCGACTGAGCATATTTGTAATAAACAGATTTATTAATAGCAGATATGGTGCCTGCAGCCACCATACCTTAGAATTGTTTTTCTTTTTGTTATAAGGCATCTTATTTTCACTTAGGATTCACAATCTGTTTTCTTTAAAGGCTTCAATTATTAGAAATAAAGCTCAAATTCGTTTTCATTTGGGAAATCATCCTAAAATAATCCTAAAATAGTTCTTGAAGCTGCAGGCTATACAATCAAACATGTTAGGGTGGTTAAGGGATGAACACCTGTAAGATATCAGACATTTAGATAACCTATGTCTGCATGCAAAAACTCAGAGCTCACTATATTATTGCACTCTTTTGGTTAACATAAACAAGAATAGATTAAACATTGTTCTTTTTTTTTTTTTTTTAACTCAGTTTGCCTCAAAAAACCTTAAACATGTATGGTGCTGGTTTTGTAAAAAAAATCTTACATTGTTTTTCTCATTAAACTCTCCAAGAGAATGAGTTATTGGACTTCCATTGTTTATCATCTAAGTGCCTTAAAAAAATGAAAAAACCTTAATAGAACAAATTGAAAGATCTTAAATTGAACAATGTAAAAACAAATAGTTGTCAAAATATGGTAGGCCTATTTGATATTTGATAGTCTATTTTTAACCAACTTTTGTCTCTCCGGTTCCCTATGCAGAGACAGCCTATGTCTAAAGATAGATAAATATTTGAGAAGTAAAGTAGACATGCTTTTTAAAACGGTCAGATTAAAGGTGTTAAAGTCTGCTATAAACCATAATTTGCCATAATTTTTTACAAAGGTTTTATTTTGAAAGGGTTGTCCGGAAGTCATATAGTTAGCTGTCTGGCTTGACCATCTGTCATAATGAGGGTGTCTCCTCTTTTCTACTAGGCATTATCGGGGATTCCTTGTTGTTACGCAGGTGTGTACAGGCACAGACGCGACTGACACACACACACACACACACACACACACACACTGCCTCGGCTGGACTCTGTGTTACCCGTCATCATGTTCAAGGGGACTCGGAAGGAGACTCGAGGGGACTCGGGGGTCCTGGATGCTGCTTCTCTGAGGCAGCAGAGGAGGCTGAAACAGGCGATCCAGTTCCTCCATAAGGACTCAGCTGATCTGCTGCCTTTGGATGGACTGAAGAAGCTCGGGACGTCAAAACAGGGGGTGTGTCTCTTTATACAGGCCTTGTGGTTTTTTTTGTATGCTTTTATTGGGTTTTTTTTTGCTCTTTGAATAAGAAATGTTTCCTGCAGCTTTGTGTAACCTTACACTTAATACCTACAACAATAACACGAATAATCATGATTTAAAAGGGAATGGCTGATTACCTCTAACAATTCCACTGTTAGAGGTAAAAGGGGCTCGTGGCCTTAAGCGTCATCACCTTAGAACAAACCAATGAAAGTTCTAGTTTTGATTTATTTCCCTGATTCATTATAGCCCATTTGAACATGTGGAGAGCAGAGATTTTTAGGGAAATAATGATTGTTTTAATCCAAAATCAATCGTGACTTCTTTGTGACATGCCACAAATAAAATATTGCGTGACCTTAATATTTACAGTCTATGTGTATGACAAACACTGAACAAGCTAGCCAGGTCATTAAAGTGGAGTAGGCCTACAGAGCTCAGTAGGTGACATGGATATAGTCTTAAAAAAAAGTGTGCTTGTTCTATTTCGCGCACCAGTTTTAGTCACTTAAATGCACGTGTGCAAGTGACACACATGCAATTTATATAACTGGTGCATGAAGGACTAACACAATGTGCGTGCAAATTACTAAATCATGCATGCAATTTATAAAACAGGTACACCAAAATAAAAATGTATATACATGTCGCATTGCAGGCTCTGTGTTGCAGACACAAATGTGCTAGCATATAAGCAATGCTAGATTTTCCCTAACTGGAAACAGATATTGTAGAGTCGACTGTCTGTTATAAGAAATAACAGTACAGTACAAACATCACTAAGTTGACACTTCGCTGACAGCTAGCAGCAGCAACTCAAATTGACAATGCACCTAATTATTTTTAACTTTACGCCTTCATGTAATGCTGGTTTCCAAGTTAGCAAAAGTGTCCAAAACTGTACTAGTCTTTAGACAGGTTTATTTCTACTGTAAAATTAGCCATTTTAATACAGGGCTCAATGGGGGTTCACTCACTTTTGGAGCTAGCCTCTAGTGGCCACATGTGGAACTGCAGTTGTTGGCTCTACAGTGTAGATTTCTTCACACAGCAGGTTGCTGTTTGCCTGCATGATGAGTATCTAACATTCTTTGACTATTGTGTTGACTGAGTTTAAGATCCAGCCTTATCCCGATATTAAAGAAATGTTTTTTTGTATTTCTATTGCAGCAGCCGCACCACATCATCCAGAAGCGCCAGCTGGAGGCCAAGCTGTCTCAAGGGAGGATGGTAACTCTAAACAACAGAGAGCTGCTCCTGAACTTAAGTCAGTTCAATTCAAATGAGAACGAGGAAGAAGAGGAGGAAGATCTAATATATGTGCCCTGCAAGGTGGGAGAACAATGCCGTTTTTTTGATATGTATTTTTGATGTCTTCCTGCTTCTCTGTTTAGAGCTCCTCTGTGTGTTTTCAGTGTTTAGGAAAGGAGGTAAATCTGCTGATCGACAGCGGCTGCAAACTGAACCTGATGTCCTCACTGACCGTGGAGAGATCCGGGTGAGACGTCCACTATTTGCTCTTTGAATTTCTATTCGTCAGATCTCATTCAGCATTTTGTGAGTCATTTATTTGTTTTTGTTTTGTTCTTAAAAGTTGGAAAGATCTCGTTGAGGAGAACAAAATGGAGGCGAACGGTTTCCCTTTTCAGAGGAAGCTTTGCATCGACGGACAAATCAGAGAACTCAGCCTCACCATAGGAGAGCTCAGGATCATGTGCTCCTTCGTTATAGTCGGTGAGGAAGAAGAATAAAACGAACATTGATGATGAACATTATATTCAATATAATGCATTGAAGTATTATGATACGATTGTCTGTTATTTTCAGAAAGTAACAGACCGCTGATGTCTCTGGGCTACAAGACATTAAAGGCACTAAAGGTAAATTATCCAGCTTTCAAGAAATTAAATATTTAACTGACTATTTAGATGTTTCATACAAACATGCAACCAAAAATGCTTCACACAGCAAAAATGAATAACACATATAGAAAATATGAAGAAGGATGGACAAGTGATTACATTTTTGTAAAAAAAATGAAAAAAATGAAACAATAAAAAGATGTACTAAACACCAGGGGTTCCAATTAGTAAAACCAGCCTGTATATAAACATGGACGTAGTCACCCAAGTTTCTGATGCGGATTTTAAAGCCTATCATATATTGGAAATGCTGTCTCAAACTAACTTTCGGCTAACCTAGTTACTGCAAAGAGCAGTAGCTAAGGCGAGCCTTTAGCCTCCGTACAAACAGCTACAGCAAGCACGCTTGTCAGTCGGACCAGCTACGCCCCTTGTTTTCAAAATGCATATTCTTCATAAGATCAAAACTGAAGAGTTAAGATTAAAAAAAATCACCCCCCTTAACAGTATGTGCCGATAAAGACGTGAGCTATTCAGACCAAATTGTGTTTTGTACGAGGTTGTAAACATGTTTTTGCTGCTGTAAAAATGGGCTCTTTAAAATGGGTGTGTATGGGACACTCGGGTCTTTTGGAGCCAGCCCCAAGTGGACATTTGAGGAACTGCTTTTTTTCCACTTCTACATAGGCTTCATTTTTCAACACCAGAGGTTGCCGTTTGTGTAAAACACAAAGATGAAAGCTATTTAAGTTATATCATGACTTGTTTTAGTGCTAGCTTAAAAGAGAGGACAAGGCTGAATGTGAATTGATTAACTAAGAGAGAAATAATGCATGATGTGTGTTGTGTTTCCTTTTTTTTCAGTGTGTTATCGACACTGAAAAGCAGATGTTGGTGTTCGGGACAAACGTGAGAGAGCAGGTTCAGTTTGCCAAGAAAACAAACAATGAAAGGTAAGATTTTATTACATCATTATGCCAAGTATCTACAACATTAAAATATTTATATTTACAACAGGGCATGCTAAATAATCTAGTAATGTATGAAGGACATACTTTTTTCGAGTTCTATTACATCAAATTCTTCTTTTCTTCTTTTTGTTCAACAGTTCCCACAACTTTAGCGACCTGTGACTCAATCTCCCTGACCTCTGGCACACACAGTGATCTAAAGCAATACAACTATTTAATAACACAAGAACAACTAGACGCTTTATCGGGGGACTTTAAAATTTTCATCTCATTCATTCTCACTTTCACTCAGCTTGTTTCTTTATTGCATTTATAAGTCAGATGAGTGATAATAACACTGATTTCAGTAGTTTTTACCATTACCACTATATGTATACAGTCTTTGTTTTTGTTTTGTATACCGACAGCAGTCTGCACAGAAGCAGCCCCCTCAAACTAACAGCTCCTTGAGTAACACTTTAAAGCTTCATTGTAGCCTAGCTGTCACTACAGTAGTTTGTATTGTGCAGCTAGAATCAAAGTATTAGCAGAACTTGTAGCACTTTAGACTTTAAGATTGTGATTTGAAGCTCTTATAGCAAAATGTATATTGTTGTGCAGTACATCGCTTATTATAATAAACGTTTGTAGTAATACGTTGATGTTGAACAGATGGTTCAGGAGTAGAGTTTAAATATTTAGCACAAGTTGTTGCATTTAGTGCAATAGTATTTTCTAATATTGTTTTCTGTATTTTCTAGAACAAAACATGTATTTGCATTAAGGTCACTGCCTTTTAATGTTTACAAAAAGTTAGAGACACTCCTGATATGTTTTATCACTCTACTGTAGCCAAAGTGCAACACTGAATAAAAAAATAAAATCCTAAATGAAGAGAACATTTTTCTGTTCTTCGTTTTTCCCCCTTTGTTTTTCACTGACATAGCCTACATATTACGCCTTGTGCTATTTTATCTATTAGCTATTTCTAAAACTAGGGCAGCCACATGAAGCCTTATGATTAAAGAGTGAAGACACACACACACACACACACACACACACACACACACACACACACACATTAGCCTAATCCTAATTCTGTTCTCTTGAAATGTGAAATATGAGTTTGGGACACATGTAAAACATGAATATTCCCCATTTTCTGGCCTTTACTTTTTTCTGATCATCTCTGTTGTTGTCTTGCAATAAAAACTTCTTTTTTTTGAACCCATCGTGAAACATCAGACCCTGCCTCATTCAGGACGTTTACGTTCTCAGCTGTGGCTGTAGGCTACCATAGCAACTGTAGCATGACAACAACGTTTGGTAACGCCCCCCAAACAACTGATTGGCAGGTGAACGTTCTATGAAGAGCCACGTCTCCATGGAAACCAACGTCCACAGTGAGGGGAAGTTGTCGTCTGCAGCTGACTGAGATCAACAGAACGAACTGCAGGTACTGTAAATGCAGCCGCTGGGTTTGTTTGTGTGTTTAACTTTTAGATGATGAAGAGGGATAAAAATAGTTTTGTTTTTTTAGAATTAAGCTGCTTATTGTGAAGACAATGAACATTAAAACTGTTTTCTGTTTCAGTAAGAAGACGAGGAAGAGTTCTTTAGTCTTTATTAATTTGATAGAAAAGTGTCTTTGGTATTCCAAACTTTAAAGGGGCTATATGTAGCCTAATGTTATTTTGTTTTAAAAAAGTTACATATAGCCCCTATAGAAGAAAAGTTATAAAATTAAAAAAAAATAAAGTAGTAAAACTTAGGTTTCTCCTCAGGGGATATAGAGCAACACAACAGCAGCAAAAAGGTACACATCAAATCAAAATATGTATTTTAACAAACAATGACAGTTCATATTTAGCCTACATATGCTACATATCTTTAAATAAAGTTATTATCTTTACTGGCACAAACATGCAGATATTTTTAGTTTATCTTGTTTCCTCTTGTCTCCTTGTCTCTTGTCTTTTTGGTTTATCTGAATAATAAAAACCTTGATACCATGCTTAAACCTGTAAAAACAGAAAATTGGAACACAGAGATGAAATCCAGACAGATGGAGGCCTCTGAAGCTGCACTGGTTCCACTGTTTGGGGGCAAACAAAGATGCAACATCACTTTCATCGTGGGGAGCTCAGAGGACATGAGAGCTGTTCTGGGATCAGTGAAACGGCTTCTGATCCAGGCGCTGCTGACGAAGGCTTCACACAGAGACTCTCTATTCAACATCATGACGTACTCAGGAGAGGTGAGGACGGACTGATAGACTGATAGATAACACCTGCAGCACTGAAGCCCACACAAATTAAATTAATAAACCCCTTTTTTCATGGAATAAATGCGTGTGCATGCAAGAGCTGTGTTAAGTCTTGATTTTGACTACTTTCACTTTTTTAATATAATTGTTTGTTGCCTGTTGATCCTGATAGCTTGTTGTTCGTAGAACCTCCATGTTGCAGCTGATTACCCTGGAGCTGACTTTTGAGATTGTCTTTATGTGAAACTGATTTTTTCATCCTTCCTCACAGCTGACCTGTTTGTCCCACCACATGCTCCCCTGTGCTCCTGACTCAGTATACATAGCTCTGTCCTGGATTCACTCCATCACCTGCAGCCCTGGCAGAGACCTCCTGGCGGCCCTGTGTGTTGCCTTCAGTGACCCGGCCTGTCACGCCATCCACCTGCTCTGCACAGGGCTCCCCGACCAGCCTGAGGCCGTGCTGAGAGCTCTGCCCGCCCTGGCAGCTGGTCGACCTGTAAACATCTTCTACCTGAAGGACTCAGGTGCTCAGGTGGACAGGAACTCACTAGACTACCTGCAGTGTCTGACAGAGGCCACCAGAGGGAGCTGTTATGTGATTCCATTCGGTTTGAATGGAGTGTTTGAGAAGGTATGGATGCACTTATGTTCTCCTCAGATGGTCCAGTTCCCACTTTAGGAAGTACATTTTTTCGCATTTGGTGCTCACAAGATGTGTCTCTGTGCATGTTGTCAGGCAGTTCCTCTGCATGTTGTGGAGAATCAGTCATCAGCGCCAACAGACTCTCCAGTGAAGTGTTTCTGTCTGACCTCTTCAGTCTTCTTCCAACACAACACGTCATCACCTGTGCTCAGGTTGGTCTTCATAGCTACACCTTTTGTTTGTTGTTTACAATTCATGGAAAGACATACTTCATTGTCTGCCATCATATAAGAAGGATAATTAATTCCCTTAATACTGATAATAGACAAATTAACAAAAATGATAATGATATTAAACATGCATCAAGAGGATGTTTTTCACTTCCAGGCAGTCAGTTTAAAAAAGGTGAATCATTTCATCAGAATCATCAGATATTAAACATTTCATATGTTAGAAAATCTTCACTAAACATCAGCCTGTCTCTGTTTCAGACATTTTTGGAGCATGCAGATGTTTGTGGTGTTTTGCAGTCTGCTTAGTTTTGGTTTGCTGTGTTTTCCCTAGTTGACTTTGATGTTATAAACTATAAAATGTTTTACAGTATGATGTAACATTTACTTAAGTAATCCTAAAGGAAAAGAACATGTGTGACCTTGGTTGAGGTTTAAGGGTTTGAAATAAATGAATGAATGACTGAATGAAAGATACTGAACATCTAACCTTTCTAAGAAACAAAGATGGTAGATTTAAATTTGCCTTATACTGCTTTTTTTTGTGTGATCCAAATTAGTTAATATTCCAGTTTATAAATAACTCTCATAACAAATATTAATCAAAATTACATAAGCTTAATATGTTGGGTCAATCAGAACAAAACAACCAACTTTTTTTTACAAAACTAAACTAAAGGTGATGCCCACAACATCCCACCACATACAGTATATACATTTTAAAAAGATCCCCAGACGGATGTGTGTTCAGTTATTAGATAAACGGGAAGGTAAGAAAATCAGATGTATAAAGGTTGATATGATTCACAATTCACATGATTTGTAGTTCTTTTACTTTGGGCTCTTGTACAGGATGATACAGTTTCCTCTTTAGCACCATGCATCCTGTTCTCTGAAAGGTCCAAACTGATAACGTCTTGATAAACAGATAACGGGGAGTGCCAGTATTATTATTTTTTTGGTTGTGGTTCTGTATGGTGTTAAACGAAAACCACACCAAAGCACAACAAAACATCAGTTTTTTTCTGACGTCTCCCAGGTGCAGTCTGGGTAATCCTCTCCAGCCATGTTCCTCCTTCTTGCAGCCCGGTCTAACCCTGAGCGGTCAGCAGTTTTACCCAGGATGCAGAGTTCTGGCCCGGAGGGAGATGGACGGTCTTTATTACTTGGGCGCTTTGATACAGCAGGTGCAGGTAAAACATGCTGGGGTTATATTACACTTCATAGTCATAGTCATTTTAAATCAAGTTTAAATCTTAATGTTTTACCATGTAGAGTGACCCAGGAGGAACTATAACATTGTCTCTTCTTCCTGTGTGTCAAACCTCAGGGCTGCGCTGGAGTTTGGATTGTTGAGTTTGACCACCCAGGAAGCCCCGGTTTGGGGTTCGTCCCCTCCCAGAGACAGCTGGCCTGCTCCCTCGACATGGTGACCCACACCAGAGCTCTCACAAGCTGTCTGGTACCCGGTGATCCTGTCCTGTCACCATGGGAACCAGATCTGATACGACACGGGCCGGGGAGACTGATGGCCGCCACAGAGCGCAGAGATGTTTTAGGAGGTTTGGGATAAAAGTGGTTTGTGTTCATTTTTACAACCCAATGCACTGATGTTACAGCCTGATTACTTAATGAAGGCGCAACGGTGATCTCCAACCCAAACTAAAATATCAAAACCCTGCAATCTAAACATACCATCTTAAGATAATTACTCACAAAAAGGGAACATTTCCATCTAAAGTCTCTACTTCTCTGTGAATCTCTCTCACTGTCTTTGCAGTTGATGGTGTTGTGTGCCTCCGGGTGTTGATGTGGAACGGCTCCGTGTCTCTGGTTCCTCACAGCCTGGTTTCACCCATTTCAGCCCTTCAGCACGACAGAATAGTCAGAGAGCTCCAGATCCTGAAAACTCAAGCTCCAGATCGGTGCTGCAGCTGGCTTTGTGCCCGCAGCTCCTCCTGCACTCCCCGGCTCTTCTGCAGCTCCAGGCGTCCGTCTGCATCCTGCTGTGGTGAGAACACGTTTCAGCACAGGTGTAGGTCCAGCTTTGGAAGAACGGATGGATTTGAGAGGGCGGAGCGGGATAAAAAAGTGGAACAAAGCGATCCAGATGCAACGAGGAATGACCCTGAGGTGCCCTCGCCCTCTTCGTCTCTGTCTGAGGATGAGAGCAGAGCGGTGAAGCTGAGGAGCGAACAGCAGCGTCCTCCCTGGAGGTACTGGAGAAGAACTGGACCAGAACCACAGCACAGACAGCCAGGTAAGACATGTCTCGTCGTGACCAAAACAAAAGTTCTGATTTAATTTGTGGACATTTAAACAGGTGAAGGAGCTTTATAGAAATTAAACGTCACATATTATCCTCCTTTTCAACTACCGTCTGTGAAATTTCTTGTTCTAAATCCACTCTGATCCTGTATTTGATCATGCCTTTAAACCCCTCTATTTCAGCCCTGCTCAGAACAGGCTGTTTCTGTGTCTGTAGCTTTAAATGTAAATGAGCTGTGTCTGACCACGCCCCCTCTCTGGAAGGGCTTGGGTGTCAATTGCTTTCTTGCACCATGACCAATTGTTTAGGGTTGAAAAGGCAGACTCAGAGGACAGAACAAACACCTAGCTGTGGGAGTGTCACCCACCTGGGGGAGGGGTTCCTGCCCTTTGTGATGTCATGAAGGGAAAAGCTCCAAACGGCCTGTTTGAGCACACATTTTCTGAAAAGTGGAGCAGGACAAAAGACGGAGAGGATGGACTTTTCTCATGATTGGGGGGGGGGGGGGGTTTGTTGACAAACTAGAGACACATGTTAGTGTTAGAGAAACATGGTGAAATGTATTTGTATAATATGTGACTTTTAAAAGTTGACTAATATCTGACTCTGCTGCTCGGCATGAACTATTAGATTTCATATTTCAAAACAACACAGGACTGGAGGATGGGTGAGAAATACATTTGATACACCACAAAAATAGTGACCTTTGAGTTCTGTTTAAACTGATGTTGACTGTAAGCTCAGGTTGCACTTTTTATTTATGGAATATTTTTTTATTCTGCTAATCAAGTCAGAAAGTGTTTAATCTTAAAATTGAAATCCATTTCCCACACTTGGCCATAAACCTTATTTATCGTGGCCAGAAGGTTTAACAGTTTCCCCCTCAGTGTGTTAAAACTGAAAAAAAAAAAAAATGTAAAAAGAGAAGGGCACTGGTTAGCCTAGTTGTTTGTCCGAAAATACGGAGGCTGTCCTCTGCTCTCCTCAATGCGGATGGCCCGGGTTAGATTCTGACCTGTGGCTCCTCCCTTTATGTCATTCCCCACTCTCTCTCTCTGTCTGTCTGATTTCGAAATATGAAGATTTGTCTAGTCTTATGGGCCCTTCATACTCTTCATTAACCCTACCTACACATGTGGATGTATTTCTGTATCTTCCTGCAGGGAGCGCAGCAGTGCCAAAGAAGACATCACAACCTCTGAGGTTCAGCTTCCCTGTCCCTCAGATAAGCGCCTCGCCCAATCACAGCTCTCTGTTTCTGTCACTTCCTGGTGCTAAAGGAAGAAGAGCGAACGTCAGAGATGTTTTTGGAACGACCAACTTCAAACCTCGACCACCGGCTGGACTGCGGCCGTTTTCTGCCAACAATGCTCCGGCTGTTTACACCTGATTCATCACGTGTAAAACAAATAAAAACATTATCATTTAACCGTAGAGTTGGAAAACACAAACAAGACTTTAATAAAAAATACTTTATTCATACACTGATGTGGCTTTAGTGCAGGAAATAAAAATGTTAAGTGCATTATTATATGATACAATCTACATGATAAACACTCCGGTATAATGTAATAAAAATATGGCTTCTATATCAAGCAATTAAAAAACTTTGATAGCAAAGTAAAATGTAAACTCTTGAAGCAAAAATATGTGTATAAACAGGCAATAAACACACAGATAGGTTAGCTTTGTTTGGTTTAGTTATTGACTGCTTTGATCATGTGAGACGTCAGAGGTTAAAGGTGAGGTTGATGCTCTCTCCAGCTTTGAGGCGGACCAGCTGTGTCTGCTGCTGGGACTCCGGCACGCTGGCAGTGATGACGTACGTCCCTGGAGAAACCTCGATGTAGAAATCTTCATCGGCTGCAGGCTCAGGAGCCTGAGGAGGAGAATGAGAATCACATTTGGAAGATTTCACTTTATCCTTAACCGACCGACACAGCTGGAGAGTGAAGGTGACGTTACGCTTTGTTATATCTGTTTTTGTCTTGGTCTTCAATGCTGCACACATTCAGCTGCCTCCACAAAAGTTTTAACAATTAATAAGCAATTAAAACAAACAAGCTCATAGCTCGTAACCGAAAGAAATGTGTTGTTACCTTGCTGTGTGGGGCCTTTTCATGTTTTCTGGTTGACAGTGCAGGTTTTGTTGACCCAGCAGCCTGCCGTGTGTGGAACCGGCACACATGGTTCCTTTCAGTTTCAGTGGGCTCGGTGCAACATCCAGACCCATAAAACTTCTGCAGCACAGACAACATTTACATGTTAGTCCATGTTTGTAGCTTAAAGCACAAGAGAGATGGTTAATAGTCGCTGACCTTGCACTGATAGGTCGTCTGTACCATAAGCCCTGCGATGGATGCAAAGACATCATCGAGCTCTATGTGTGCGTCCTGGATAGTGAAAGGAGCATTTGACAGGAGTTGTTACAAAAGAGTCACAATATAAACTGTTGGTTGGGGTTAATATACAGAGAACATGAAGCCACCTTGACTGGGATTTGTGCGTCCTCTTCTATAGCAGTGGAGGTCTGGGATGCTCTAGTGCTTGTCCAGTCCACACTCCGCCTGGAGGCCCGCTCCAGCACCTCCAGGCCCAGAGTGGCAGAGCGCCGCAGAGAGGACTCCAGCCAGGCTTGGCTTGCCATGAACAAGTCAAACTAAACTTAGAAGACCTTCACCTGAGATTAAAAAGAGCAGACAGCAATTCATCAATGTCAATTTTCCTTTAATGCTATGCATGAAGGCTCGAAAGAGTGGGTTTGATTTAAAAAATATGTATATTTTCTAAATTGATACTTAAATTAAAGGACTAATGTTAAAAAATAATTGGTCCCAGTTTCTTAGCATGACCATTAACTGTTGTTTTTAATTGGATAGATATGAAACTAAACATATGTTTAGTTCAAACATGCAGGTTTAAAGTTCACCTTGCTTCTGACTCTCAGTCACAAGATACACTTTTTTTTTACCTCTTCACCACATTACTAATGGGCTGCTGTTTTGTAATCTTTAAAAATTTGTTAAATACTAATGCATGCAGTTAGTGCAAATCTATCCACTGCCCTGTCTCTCAAAGAAAAAAGCCCCCAAAAAATACAAAGTAAATACTAATAAATGTTTCCTTTAAGTTTGACCCTAAATTAACATAGGCCTGAACCTTAATGACGTCTACAGGGAGCTTTTTATCCAATCACTGAGGCAAATTTAAATGAGTCAATCATGTTCATATTGTACACAAACTACCAACCGCATTTTACACACTGCGCATGCGTGAAGATTAACCCTCCAGAAGTAGAGAGCGGACAGATTTCACTTTCACCTACTGCAAAACTTGAACGTCGCCTCGCGTGCTCACCTAGAACAGCCGTACGTCATAAAGTTCTAACTGCACGTTCACATGTTTACGTTTTGTTAACGTCAGTGTCAACACATCTCTGGTGAGGAGATTAGTTACTTGTTTACCTGTTTACACACGGACCACCGGGCGTTTCAGCAGGTGGTCGCACACACATACACACACAAGCTTTCGGGGCAAACAGCACCTAGTTTAGAGATATAATGCAATACTCACATATCACCTCATTAAGCCTGCCTCCCCTGCCAAGTTCAGCTGACTAGAGCCGTGGTAACGCTGTTTTCAAATGACGGTACAGGAAATCCTGCATGTTAAACCCCGCCCCCCTAGAGGTGGTTCAGTCAAACAGGGGTTTCATTTAATCTGATAAACTATTTCGAATTGCTATCATTTAAAACTACATTTCTCGACATTTTCAAGCAAATAAATTAAATTGAAAATAAATTGATTTTTTTCATTAACAAATTCGTATTTTCGCTATATAACTTTCTGATTTAAAATAATAATCCTTGGGGGTCATTATTCAGTATACAATTGTCTCCAATCTCCAGATTCTGGATATGTTTCAGCCTTAAGACTCAACAAAAGGAAGACAACAAACAAAAAGGGACTCATTGGTCAGGACTGCTTTCATACTCTTACGTGTGTGTGAGGCAAATTAACAATCATTGTTGGTCACTGTATCGAGTGTGCAATGGGTCAAAGTCTGAGGGCTAGTAGATAGTAAAAGGGACAGTAAATGCCAACACCATTTCCTTAAGTAAGGTCAGTATTAATATTTTCCGATTTTAGCCGTATTATTTTCTCTGTAGTTTTGTTGAAGCTTTGAATTAAACAGCTCAGTTAAAGGACATCAGCTGGACCCACTTTGAGACCAGGCAGAAATAGTTTTATTGAAAAGTTCAGGTCAAGGTTTCATGATTCCCTCCAAAAAAATACTATTGCTGTATTTCCCTCCCACTAGTATCTCTTGAATCCTACTTTGCAGATTTATTACATCAATCGACCATAAGCTTATTTGGTCAATAACCGTAAACTCTAAATGTATATTTAAGTAGCAGACGCTGTTGCACAAACTATAACTGTCACATAAGAGGTATTTAAAATGAGACATGACAAACATAGTTCCCATTTATACATTTTATTTTTGCAAAAACAGACTGACAAGAGCATTATGCCATCAGCACACAAGCTCCTCCTGCTGCCTTGATCTTCTCCTCTGCCCGTCGGCTGAAGAACTTGGCCTTGACGATCACAGGCTGCTTGGGCAGCTTGCCTTTGCCCAGAACTTTGTAGTAGCCCTAAAAAAAGAACCAAGAAAAGTAGGATTAGTGCAACCAGATAACCACATACATCTCCAGAGAAAGAGCATCTACATGAAGTAATGCTGCAGTATTTTCTCCATTTTGGGAGTCATTCTTTATCTGCAGTTAATAAATCCAAATGAATGACAGTTAGTCTTCATTCACGATTTTACTATCAGCAAAACAATCTGAAGCTAAACTGGATCAAGAGAAAAATAATATACAAGTCTACCTTGTATTCATTAAAATGCATGAATTGAATCAAATCACCAGCAACAAATGTAGTAAATGTGTCCAATAGGCTCTGCGAAGCATCATTACATAAAGCCTTCCTACAGAGAAAATTTCATATTAACACAGGTACGAACTCCTAAAGCCTTCATCGAACACAAAGTTTAGTAATATCAAATTATCTTATTGACAGATACACATGATTAATGTGTTTTGATTAATTCAAAATATGGTTCTGTTCTGTTGAGGCAAGTATATGTTTAGATTTTGCACCAACAGTTATTTGGCACAGAAACCACTCATTCAGGCTTATATTGATCCAAGTTTGGGGAAGAAAAACACCAAACGGAGTCAAATTGGGAACTGAGTTCTCACATGACAGATGAGACAACCAAAAACATCAATCATAGAAAGACTAAATACAAATAGTAAACATTGCATATATCAGAAAAATGGGACGCACTAAAGTAAAAATAAAACAAAACCCTTTTTGTACAACCACACAGCTGTCTTTTGAAACGTACAGTATGTAATGTCTGCAACCACCAGGCGCCGCAATTAGAAACAGAACATGCTGTTGATTTTGGGCATTTTTAAGTCGAAGAGAATCATGGGTGCTGTAAATGTTTCAACCACAAATGCAGATAAAAACCATCCAAACTTGATTTAAAAAAAAAAAAAAAAAAAATGGTTGGCCATGGCAATTTTGAGCAGGTTTTTATTTTGTACAACTAGAGGATAAGTGTAACTAACTCAACTGTTTTAGCAACTTTATTCCTTTCTTTGTATCAGTATTATCTTCAGTCTTAGAAAAGCATTGATTCCAGTTTGCAAAAAAAAAAAATCAGCTTGTTCTTTGACAAGAACAAACATTATTCAGTCTTAAACTAACCTAAACTCCAGCCACTACCTCTTGAAAGTAAGAAGTGGAGACAAAAACATTTCCTTGGGAATTAAAAAAAAGGCCCAATACTTACAGCGCGCACAGCATCAATGATGGGGGCAGGTCCCTCTGGTTTCTTGGCATAGTTGAGCCTGGTCTGCTCGCTTACAAGAGTCCACAGCTTGTCCAGGTTGATGGTGGGGCAGTGGGTTGTGTTCCTCTTCAGGTGATAATGTCTCATACCCACCTTTCCAAAGTACCCCGGATGGCTGAGGAGACACAGGAGGGACAAAGGTTAATTTCTGTGTCTGCAGGGTCAGAGATAAGAGATGACCTTAGGAAGTAAGTTAAGCACTGTGATTACTAATTACTGAATCTGAATAATGTCAAGGTAACTTTCATCTCATACATTTCTCTAGCCCAGATGAAAAATGGAGAACATGATTGGTGTTTTTTTTTTTTTGAGTCCAAGACATTTCTAAACATTGAGGTCTGAAATTATCGTGTCAATTTAACACATTATGCAGCCAAATTAAACTGGGTTGGCAGTATTCATTCACATTCCCAACGTCCCTTTAACAAATAACTTCACCAGGTTCAATTCAAATCCCTTCTTCCTATTAGTGGACTCCTCTGACGCGGTCTAATTCTGATTTAATGCGACCCTAGCATCAATACAGAAACAGCATAATGATAAAGAAAAACCCATTTGTAACTGCCCATGTGGGTGACTGGCCTACAATAAGCCAGTCGGTGAATAGGACCAGTCTTCAATCTAAGAGGACTCAAGCACACCAAGACAATGATTTGTGTCAGGGTGAGACTCTAGTCTCTACAACATTGAG